ATTGATTGATCTAACTGTACTCAGTTGACATAGTACAGTCCAGAACAGGGCTTAAGCTTCTTATCTCCCCTTTTGTGCTCCAAATTGCTGTTTTAGCTCTTGAAACGTGTCAACTTTAACGCCTGATCGGTTATATGATCTAATTACAGGTACACATCCCTTCTATCAACTATCCTTGAGTGTTCGACGTTCACTAGATGGCGCATAGAATTTGGATGTAACAGATAACTCGGTATAAGAACCATTTATTTTGATGCAAGTATTATTATACTTTTTATAATATTTAAATATCACCTTTTATTTTTTAATTATTTCTTTCGATGTTCAATTAAAAATGGAGTATTTAAAATTATTATATTTCTTATTAGTATATTGATTTTTATATATTTCAGTTTATATTTATTTTATATTTTTATATTTAATTTTTTACAGAATTTTTATATGCAAGTTTCGAGTTCTCGAAGGAGTGTTTTTTTTTCTTATTGCACATTCGTCTCTGGTAGAAGTCAGTTGGACTTAATTGGCGGTCAATGTGTTAAAAATTACGTCATTCAAGTGTCTTCCTTTATGATTGATGCGTTCCCTGCAACGCACCGGTACATCGTTCATTACGACCCCTTGCATGTCGTTATCAATGCTCCTGATGGCCTTGGTGATTTTCGTCTTCAATTTACCTACCCGTGCGCTCTGCATCGATCTACGCGAAAGATTAATTAAAAACGCGTATATTATCTGTTAATGCGCTAGAAGATTAAATTTAACCCTCTCGCAAAGGTGCATTTAAGAACTCATATTGGTACTAAATCTTTTCTTACGTCTTCAATTACAATGTTTTGCAATGTTTTTACGTAAATTTCTGTTACGGTATTTCGTGATATAATTATGTAATTTTTAATTACGGTACTTCACAATATTATTACGTACTTTTCAATTACGATATTAATTTAATATTATTATTATTATTATTAATTTATACGTATGAAATAGATGTTATACTAAAACTTTCTTAATAATCTCACGTAGTTTCTTCGATAATAATCTTCACACAAGTCTATTTACTATTTTCTTTCTATATCAAGTATCAAGTAAGTTCATTGATAATTCAATAATCAACTCTAGGTGAACATTTAATCCACGTTGATAGCCCACGAAATTCAAATTCCGAACAAGCAACACGTTTCGAATTTCGAATATCTAAAATATTTTTTGGTTTATTTGCAGGTTTTTCACGTTGCCGTGGACAAACGAAATTAATTCAACCAGAAATTGAAGAACGCTGACGGTGGATGGAAGTTTTGAAAACGTGAAGGATAAAAGACTCACACAGGATTTTTATAATTACCGTAATACGTGTTCCATTTATTAAATTGGAGATATAATACACAAGCGATAGATAACACGTATGTATAATTTATACAATACTTTATACAGATTGTCTCTACCTCGTTCGCTTAGCAATTTATCTAAATACTGTACAGTAACACGTTGAACGCTCGAGTAACTGGTACGCTAGTACACCCGTCTTTCGACCATTACACTTCGTATTATTCCGTTTCGAAACTCGTTAACCAGCCACGACTCTCCAATTAAAATCGATCCCGACCGCAAGTATATCGATACACTGAAAGTGTGGAAGCCGCGAAAAAAGAATGTGCGTTGATTCGTGTATTAGGAGGGGTCTTAGCGCGACTTCCGGTTCTTTGTTGGTAGCCTGTGCCTCTTCTTAGCCGCACGCATCCTGCGATTATACATATGTATACGTGTACGTCTATGAACCTATATTTTTTTCGTTTTTTGCCTTCTTCGAGTTTAATGGGGAACACCTACTCGTTGAACGATTTCGGGGCGATTCGATGAACTTTCGCGGGTATTTTATTCATCTCGAACTTGAACATTTTTACAATTTTTCTCTTCCTCTTCTTTATTCTTTGGTAATTATAAATTTTCAAAGTTCCAAATTTTCAAGCTTTTCAAGCTTTCGAAAATACGAATTTTGACAATTTTTAAATTTTCAAATGTTCCTTCTACTTCTGTGAAAGAAATGTATTTTTTTTTTAAATTTTTTAGCAATTTGGAAGGATGGAAATAGGAGGTTCTAAATTACTGTGCCTTCTTGTGAGATGGATTATTATAATGTCTATTGTTATAATTAATTGAAATGTCTCTTTAATTTATTATAAAAGAATGTAAAGGAAAGGAGTTTTCGTTTCAACTATTGGTAGATTTTTTATTTATAAAATGATCAAAATACGCTTCAAAATATCAGCTATTCGCACCGAAATCGTCCCATATGTCTATACGTCAGATTCTTATTAAATACGTTAAATATCACATTCACGTTTATCGTATCTACAGAATATACAAAATCCATTTCGATCCGCTTATTCGTTCATTGGCATAGTTCACTGGGACGTAAATAGAGAATTCTTACGGTGAATCATTCGATTCTTTTCTTCTTACGTACTTTTCTTTCCTTTAAATCTTCTTCATCGTTCGTTTTGCATTCGCATTTAATTTATTCGAATATTTATATATTTATACTCATAGTGGTGGTGTAATGGCTTGTCTGATATTCAGCATACATTTACTATACACGTGCTGTTTAACTGAATACGAGCTTACCGGCGTTTCTTTTATTAATATAGTTAATTACTTGCAGGATTGATCGAGGCATTGAAACCATTTCTCCGGCTGCTTCGAAATTTTTCGACTTTAAGGCAAGGTTTCGAAAGAGTGGCTTAAATAATTTTTATCGTGATTCACTATTAATCAGGTAAGTTGATTCTTTGCGAGATCTTCGAAATTCCAAAATTTCAGTTTGGCAATTTGCAGTTCACGAATTCTCGAATCCTTAAACTTCTAAATTTCCAAAATTCAGATTTTTAATTTCCAAAATTTCAAATTTTCAACTATTTAAGTCTTCGTATTTACAAATTTCCAAATTTTTAAACGCCAGCTTTCTAGATCGCTGTACATGCAAATTCCTAAAATTCATAAATTATTAATTGTCATTTTTCAAATTCATAACATTCGAACTTCACCGACTAAAATGGTCTACGATTCCGTAACTTAATAGTTATCGTTTTCAACGTATACGAATTACTTTTTCAACATATACACATGACTAGATTGACCAGTCGAGATCTACTAATATTCCCGACTAATTAAACTAATAATAACGGTGTAAATTCCATTTCAATATACACAATTCGAACACAAAGTTTGATTTGTCGATTACATGATTGTGCATCACCGCGAACAATCTTTCTCTTTCTCTTGCCTTAAAAACCCTATCCAATAGAAATTGCCATACCGTCTTCCTAAAATTTCTTTGTATACAACATCAAAATCCTGCAAATAATCTCATACGTATGGTTACTGTTTTCCAGTTGCAATATAATAATTTTGCGTGTAATCCCTTTAACGTACAAGACGGCACGATCGTCCTTTCGTTATGCATTATGCGAGCATCTTAATACATACAAAATATATACAAATGGCGATAGACCTCTATAAACGTTACAAATTCGTCGGAGAAATTTTTCCAAATTAAAGAAAAAAAAGAAAATAAAAATAGGAAAAGAATAATATATTCATCTTTCTGTTTCAGCATTTTTCAACAAAATATACTTGGACAAACTTCTGTGAAAATATAATCTCGCAATTGTGCCACTAAAACTCATTATCTTGCAAAAGTTGGACACTTCAAAGGTAACCATTTAATCCTCATGATTTCTATTCGAATTTATTAATATTCGATTTTTCGATTTCGTATAAAAATTAATTAATCAAATCTGTTTATTTTTTTCTAGCTAATACGCATCGATCTTTGGTTCTTCAATGATAAGTACGATAACGTCAAGTATATAATAAATTCATACTTAGAAAGTCGTATACATTCTCCAAGGACGCTTCCATCCACAAGTTAACACGTTTTAACGGCACAATGTTGTAAGTCAGACATCAGATGCCTGTACCCCTTGTATTTGAAAGAAATCATGACGTTCCGACGATCGCAGAGATACTAATTCTTCAACTCGTCAGTCTTAGCTGTGTCGATTAAACGTTCAAGGATTTTTATTTTCTAAACCCAACGGTGAAATGGACGTGTTCTATTTGAGGTTTCATATAAATCTTCAGCGAAAATAAAATTATTTTCTTTGGGGTAATTTCCTTTTCCAGCTTTCTTTGGACGTGGGAAGAGTATTTAAGTGGTTTATTGAAAAGTGATACTAGAGAATTTAGATCTAGAGAAGTTTGTGACGAATTTTGAATAGCTTATTATTTGTACTGGTAATAAAAATTTGGAATTACCATTTCATTATTACTCATACTAATTGTAAGTCTTCTGCTCATTTTGTTACTAATTAGAAATTAATTCTAGATAAGTGATAATGTGTTTTATCATATCCTTCGCTTTACTTTTGCCTAAAAAGTTTTGTAGGATAATAAAATTCTAAATTCATTTTTTCTAATCATTTTTTTAATTTCTGAGATGAATGAAATTTTTAGTGTCTCCAAAAATTTTGATTAACAGTACTCTATTTTAATATTTCAAAATATACAGATTTTTCTGTTAGATAAATCCTCGAATTCAAGATTTTCTGTTTTGTATCACTTTTCTGACTCTCACCTTCAATTTTAATATTATCCTCTCGGATGAAAACAGTAAGAGTATCGCAACTCCCGGTTTGCGTTGCCCAAACGAAAATACAATTTTTAACTGACCTCTTAAATCGTTCACACCCCATGTTTCCAAAAGAAGAGAGATTATTGGAAGAATTTCTTCAATAACAGTGCAGTCCTCTGTTAAAAAATTTATGAAACATCCTGTAGCATTGTAGTCCGCGAACATTGTCAAACGAAGCACGGGAACGGGTTGGAAATCTTCGTTTTCTAAAATTCTCCTCGCCACGCACTTTTTCACTTTCTCTTATGAATCTACTTAGTGAATCTAGTCCTTCGATTCGTTCATCGAATCGACGTTGTTTTCACAGGTTTTAATGCCTATACTGTTGCTCGAGTTCCCTTCTGAGCCTCTTCGCGGCAGTTTCGCTGTTTCCCTCTGTCTCCGCGTCGCTGCAACCATCCTCACCCTCGGCAACGACGCCCTCGACCTCTTCTTGCCGCCTCTTCGCCGTCGCCATCTCGGCCGCATGCTTTTTCCGCCATTTTGTCCGCCTGTTTTGGAACCATACCTGCAAGCACAAACGGATCGGTCCGTTGGAAACTCGTTTTTGTTGCAATGGAAACGTTATTTTCTTCTTCTTTAATCTTTATTTTTTAATTGAACTTGTGACTATGATTACTGACAGGATTGAAATTTGTATTACTTTTGTTTTATCGTTATATAGTAGTAATAAATTGGGAGTTTCTTTCATAGTATTGGATATAAATGGGATTTAGCGACGAATGTTTAATGTAAATGAGGTGTTGTGGATAGTTAGATAAAAAATGTTCACATCTTGCCAATCATCATACTCCATGCCCTACATAATTTCAACCCAATCCCCTCTTCGACATTCCAACTAACATCTGACCACCTAAAAACATCCATCCACTGGAACCTACCGCCCCCTTCATAAATCACAGCTCTTAACCAACTTATCACTCAAACCAACCCTCTTCTCTAAGCTGTCCAATACCCAAATCAACTCTAAACGAATATATATTACCATCTGCTATTTATTTACAGGCACTAACACTTCACACGTCTGAAAAGACTCCAATTTTTCGTGAACCATTGGAGCAACTGTTTCCCAACTATCATCCTACACCACTGATGGATTCTCGAGTGCCTCGTTTCTTCCTGGTCGCCTCATCTGAGTGTTTCGGAAGGAGAAACACTTATACTTTCGGGCTCGATTGATTTTGCAAACGCTCCAGGTACTACATTTCTCTCGCGGACTATACAAGGATTAAGAAATTCACCTGGACAAAAAAGCAGGTGGAGAGGAGTTTTCTCAAGGTGGCCTCCCTACTAGCCGTACATCTATAAAGCTCGAAATACGCGGCAGGAGTCCGTGTCCCCGCAACAATGTATTTAATTAACGTAACGGGCGCCAGGGGAGCGGCGGGACTCGAGCGTAGCGATTGCACCCACAAACCACCCTCTATCCATAGCGGCGAGCGCCGCGTGACCCCAACTAAACTCCACCCCCGTGGCGCCCCTCTTTCCTCGCCAATCCGCAGGCTTGTTCAATGGCCGCCAAGTCGAGAGCTTAAATTAAAGATATAAGCGGCGGCCGGCGTGCACGGCGGCGCGAGGCGGTAAACGAATTAAAAAGTAAACGGCCAGCCGTAAAAGTTAATAGCTGTTCGGATGAAAATTAAAACACTCGAGGAATTAAGATAACGGAGAGAAAGGAAGCCAGACAATCTGGGCGAGATTGACTGCCGCCGCGCGCGCCCGCCCGACGCGTAAAACGTCAATCCCTCTCTGTTAAACGGAACAATCTCCCGCTTGCGACGCTTTTTCTTTTCGTTCGATCCGTTTCTTCAACCCTTCCGAGGGCACGTTTCCGGAAATTAGGAGAGTAGGACTTAGTTGGAGCGAAGGAGTTCTCCTCGGCTGTGTCGGGTCTGACCGAAGAGTATGTCCTTAGGAAGGTTCATACTCTTCGACTGGGTATGTTTTGTCGAGTTGAAAAGTTTGGATTGGTGGTGGTAAAGAGAAGAAAGATACGTGTCCTTGTTCTCTTGGTTTTTGATTAGAAATCGAGATTATTAAGTAGCTTCAGAAGATATTTCTGGAAATATTAGCAGTGTTCGGTAAGAAATATCCTGCCAGTTTGAACAGTTTTTGGAGCAAGAGAGGAGGAAAGGACGTGTTCTTGGCTTTTCTTGGCTCGTGCTCAGATATTGAACTTGTTAAATATATCAGTAGAATGTTTGTGGAAATATTAGCGCAGTTCAGTAGAAAATATTTAATCAATGTAAAAAGTTTGGCTTAGTATATAGTAGAAGCAGTGGATAAAAAAGGAATTTGTTCCTAAATTTCCTTGGCTCTTGATCAGGTATATACTAAGATTATCAGATAGCTTTATAGATGTTCCTTGATCAGTTTGGAAAGTTCGACTCGATAGAAAGGAAAGCTGAAGAATTTATTCATAGATTTTAATAAAATATCGAGATTATTAAATATCCCAATATAATGTCCCTAGAAATATCACCGAAGCTCAATAGAAAGTGTTTATCTAATCCAAAAAATTAGAAGCCTAATAGACACTATAGATCTATCTCTCCTTACTCACATTGTACAGATATCAGAATCCTTTACATCGTACTTCTAATAATATCACTTGTATCCGTTAAGAAATGTTTATCTGTCCCGATAAATTCGTCGTTGGAAAAGTAAAAGATAGAGGAAGTTTCACTCGGTTTCTAACGATTGAATATCGGGCAAAATTTACGATCGGGCATCCGCAGGCTAATTTGAAAGTTTGGAAAAAACATTTCACTTGTGCCAGCTTAATGGAAGAGCCGTCACGCTTGGTAATCGATAGAACGACGAATATGTTCGCCAAAACTCGGATCTGGGTTTGAAATCTCGGAGATAAGACGTGGAACGAACGCGATGAAACAGTTTCCTCGACGATAAGAAACGTTCCCGGGCGTCCCGACTTAATAATTCGTCCACGCGATTTCCGGTCGCGATATGTTGATCGGGTCATCGATCGAACGTTTTATCACCGTCGATAAAAGCGAAGGGAGCACAATAAAAAAGATAAGCGGGAACTGGGATGGCCAGGGATAAATTTTTATTACGACCCCGTCAAGACAGCGACTTCGGCCGCTGCCAACCGCGTGGATTGAAAATCGTGTCCTGCCCGGGAACTCGATTTTCATCTCGTCCTTCGTTCTGTCTTTCAACCGTCTTCGAGGCTACGGTTTATCGTCGAGCAACAGCTTCTCGAATTTTGTCATCGTTCTTCTGTGTAACCAGAGAGAGAGAAATTAATCAGACGTCAAATTGTTTTTGAGAAAATAATAGATATAGTAGATCTTTTATGATAATAATTACCACTGTGTGGTCTTATGAGAATTGGAAACAAGTGCCATTTAATTGGAACAGAGATTTGGGCAAATTTTATTTGAAATAAAAATTGGGAAATAAGTATGGAAGATAACGAGTTATTCTTTAATCGACTAATTTAATGAAAATAGTTTATGAGGAGGGAATTAAGTAACGTCTTATGCAATTTAATTAATTAATTATGTCAGTCAATGCTTCCAAGTGGAATAATAAATAGACGAGTTTTGGTGATAAAGGTTGTAGTGGTTTAATGTTAGAATATTAAAATTGAGATGAACAAAGTTAATAAAATTCTGGTAACAGATTTTAGTAATTAGTGTTACATTTTGGTCATGTTTTAGTAATAAATGGCGGTGTCGGTTTATTTTATAATGTAAGGGTAATTGGTTTTAGATTTGTTTTCACTTTAATTGGTATCGTGCAATTTGGTATTAGAAGATTTTCAGGGAATTATTGTTTCGGAGAATAGTTTCTGTATCTATTAATTTGTGTCACTGATGAATCGTCCTTAAACGGAGCGGAAATTGTCCCACCAAGCCGTAAGAATTGATTTTCGGCTAACATTATGGCGGCGCACTGTTTAACCAGGAATTACCTCTAATTTAATAGACCGTAATGGGGCCAAAACGTGACGCAAGTAACCGATAATAAGCCATTAAAATCTCTCTGCAGTTTACATTACCCTCAAATTGAACGTTAACATTAGAACAGCCAGCCGAATGTGCCCACTCTCGTCAAAATGTCCCATCATTCCCCAAAGAAATCCATTAACGTTGTAACATCAATTATCTCTTTAATTTCACCCACGAAAAATCCCCAAAAATCCCCAAAATCTCAAAAAGTACACGAGTTTAGGAAAAAATGAAATGTCCAAGATATACTTAATTTAAAAAAGAAATTGTCAAAAATTCGTAGCTCTCGAAATATCTCTCGAAGATACTTCATTTTTAAAAGTACAATTCCAATAAATTACAGTCGCAGTTTAATTTAAGTCACGCATAAAGAACTGCATACAATTTTGGAACGAAAGCTCGAGAAAAACACGGGAAAATAATCCGAAAGAAGCGCTCTTTATTCCCGAAATATTCTCCCATGCAGAAACCAAACAAATTTTTTAAAAATATCCTCAAACGCAGAATTCAGCATGAGAAAGACAAATTTCCCCTCGACGTCGCGTCGCGGCCATCTCTGTGATGCCTTTTTAAACTTGCGTTTGCCCAAGAAAGGGCGGCACGGAAAGAAGGAAAAAAAGGAGAAAAAGCGAAAAGACAGAGAGAAAAATCAGCGACTGCCCTTCGGCAAATCCTACGCGGCTTTGGATCCGCATTTTCGGGATTTTTTTTTTCCTCTCTGCGGAGATACAGTGGCGAAATGTAAATGCGAGCAGGCGGCGGCACTTCGACGTGGCGCGTCATTCATCTTGTTTTTGAACGCGTTAGTCACGCGTTGTAAACGCTCCCTCCGCAACTGTTCGATTTATTAAATCAGGATTATCTAAGCCCATTACTTTGTCCTGTAAAGCTAGATACAAAACCGCATTTATAACTGCGCAAAGCCCTTACACCGTCGGGGTGGAGTGTCGATCTCTCTCTCTCTCTCTCTCTCTCTCTCTCTCTCTCTCTCTCTCTCTCTCTCTCTCTCTCTCTCTCTCTCTCTCTCTCTCTCTCTCTCTCTCTCTCTCTCTCTCTCTCTCTCTCTCTCTCTCTCTCTCTCTCTCTCTCTCTCTCTCTCTCTCTCTTTACTCTTTCTCTTTCTCTTCAACCACATCGGTCCCTTTCCCGGGGATTTTCTCCGTCTCTCCACCTTCATCCCTCTGACTCCGTCGCACCCTCTGTTTAGCGTCTCCGTTCCTCTTCGACCCTCTCCCATCCTCCAATCGTAACAGATAATACCGGCCAGTATCTGATCTCGTTGATATTGGCGGATAATTTACTATGCGAAAGATTACAGGCGTGACTCACATCTTGATACACGAATTCGAAGCCGGAGAATTTGCATAGACACGCGGCTACCAGGCGATTACTATTGTGGAGAACAGGCTGGGTCATAGTAGAGGGTCACCAAGGGTGCAGAGATTTTTTGATGATTTTGAGACTAACACGAGTAGGATAAGTGTGGAACGATGGTAGAGATATTTAAGATGCAATTGTATTTTTTAATATT